GGGGAGAAAACAATGGCCAAGATTGTGCCACGTCACCCATTTTCGCACAATACACTTCCGACTTCTAAAATCCGTAACTTTCACATACAAGCTCCGTTTCTGACGTTCTTTATATTCACGCGTAGGTAAAAATAAGATCTACAACTTTCATTTTGACTCCGTCGGATAATTCTCAACCGATCTTAAATTTAACAGTACGAGGAGATTATATTGTTAAACGTCCGCGTAAAATTCATAACTTCTACATACGGATTCTATTTTCATCTATATTTTTACCGTTGAGTTCCTATTAATGAGATCTTCAATTCTCATTTAGTTCACGTAGGCCAAAAACCGCTCGATCTAAAATTCGAGTTTCAGGCTGTACATTGTTAAGCCAAAACTTCGAAAAATCATAACTTCCTCATACAGAGTCAGATTTGGGCGTTCTTTTTATGGATGTTCTCGGTTTAACATATACTACAACTTTGGTTTAGATCACTAAGACTAAAAAGTCCTCCATCGTAAATTCAATATTTACGTCTCCCGGTGCCGTGTCGGTTTTGCCGTAAAACTTCGACGGGTCATAACTTCTTCGTTATAACTCAGAGTTTGGCGTTCTTTATATCCTCGGAATCCTTTTTTCTATCACTACAACTTTATATAAAGATATTGGGCTTATCTCACACTTTAATTTTGACGCTTATTTTTTATTCTTTATTAATTATACATTTATAATTAAATAATAAGAACATAAATACACATAATTCACATAATACTCAAGTATTTCATCTTTATTACTTCAAAAAGAGTTACAATAGTTGACCTAGACTATTACATCGTCTAAAATGTTTAGCCCTGAAACCCGGGCGTCACAAATCTTTCCCCCTTAGGATGATTCCGTCCTGGAATCATGCATCAGCAAACAGATGTGGATTGCGACTCATCATGTCATCCTCTGTTTCCCAAGTGAGATTTTGCTCATTCGAATGTTTCCATCGGACTAGCACTAAGTTGACCATCTTGCGTCGTAACTTCTTAGTCTTACGGTCAACAATTGCCTCAGGCTCTTCGATCAGCCTCTTATTCTTATCCATTCTTAACTCTGAGATTGGAATTATGTCAGGAACTTCTCCCGTGAATTTCCTCAGATAACACACATGGAAGGTGTTATGAATACCATCGAGTTCTTCGGGTAATTCGAGCTTGTAAGCTTGGTTCTTAATCTTCAGAAGAACTTTGAAGGGTCCAATAAATCTTGGACTCAACTTCCCTCATTTCCCGAATTGTATAAGTCCCTTCCACGGTGAGACTTTAAGCAAAACCAAATCTCCAACTTCGAAGGTCATCGGTCGCCTTTTCTTGTCTGCATAGCCCTTTTGACGATCCTGAGCTGCTAACATTCTTTCTCTGATCACCTTTAACTTTTCAGCAATCTCATGGACTATCTCGGGGTCTATAAACAGCTTCTCTCTGGCTTCAAGCCAACAAGACGGCGTACGACACTTCTGTCCATACAAGGCTTGATAAGGTGCCATCTTGATGCTCGAGTGGAAACTGTTGTTGTAGGAAAATTATACCAGAGGTAAGTGGTCGTCCCAGTTCCCTTGGAACTCGAGGGTACATGCTCTCAGCAAATCATCCAGTGTCTGAATCGTTCTTTCGCTCTGACCATCAGTTTGCGGATGGTAAGCAGTGCTCAAACATAACTTTGTACCCAACTCCTCTTGTAGACTCCTCCAAAACCTCGACGTGAAACGACTATCACGATCTGATACAATCGTAAGAGGAACACCGTGAAGTCTTACAATTTCCTTCACGTAAGCATTTGCGAGCTTATCCGTAGACCACTTCTCATTGACTGCTATGAAGTGTGCACTCTTGGTGAAATGATCCACGACTACCAAAATCATGTCGTGTCCGTTCTTCGTCCTGGGCAGTTTAGTCACAAAATCCATGGTGATGTCTTCCCATTTACCCATGGGTACAGGTAAAGGTTCTAAACTCCCATACAGTTTCTGATGTTGTGCCTTAACTCTCGCACATGTTATACACTCGGCCACATACTTCGCAACATCGAGCTTCATTGTCGGCCACCAGTAGTAGGTTTTTAAGTCCTTATACGTTTTAGTGCTACCGGGATGAATTGAGTACATGGTATTGTGTGCTTCTTCCATCAGAATATCTCTTATTCCTCCCATCTTAGGTACCCAAATCCGATCTTGGAATACCTTTAGTCCTCGACTGTTTGTACCGAACACTAACGTTTTGCCCAGACATTCTTCCTTTCGGTCATTCTTCTCTAAAGCTTCTTCTTGATCTTTCCTGATACTTTCCACAATCATCGAGACGACTTCAATCCTCAACGCTCTTGGCCTTTTCCTTTCAAGGTTGATTTTCCGACTGAGAGCATCAGCAACAACATTTGCTTTATCGGGGTGGTAAAGTATTTCACAGTCATAGTCCTTGAGTAGTTCTAGCCAGTGTAGTTGCCTCATGTTTAATTCTTTCTGATTAAAGAGATACTAGAGACTCTTATGATCAGTGAAAATCTTGTACTTCGTGTCGTAGAGGTAATGCCTCCATATCTTTAAGGAAAATACTACCACCGCTAACTCCAAATCATGAGTGGGTAGTTCTTTTCGTGCTCTTTCAATTGCCGAGATGTGTATGCTATCACCTTTTCTCTTTGGGTCAGAACACAACCCAACCTGACTCCAGATGCATCACTGTAAACCGCGAAGTCTTCAACTCCATCGGGTAAGGAAAGTATTGGTGCTTCACATAACTTCTTCTTTAGCTTCTCGAATGCCTCATCGTGTTTCTCACTCCACGTATATGTAGCTCCTTTATGGGTCAAGGTTGTTAATGGAGCAGCTATCGAAGAAAAGCCTTGGATAAATCATCGGTAATATCTGGTTAATCCTAGAAAGCTTTGAATCTCCGTGGGACTCTTCGGACGTTCCCACTTCATTACAGCTTCGATTTTTGTGGTGTCAACCATTATTCCCTCATGGTTAACCACATGACCCAAGAATTGGACTTCTCGGATCCAAAAATCACATTTGGAGAACTTAGGGTGTGTTTGGGTTAGCTTTTTTTTTATCATAAAAGTGATTTTAGGAAAAGTGCTTATTAGCTTATAGCTTTTTGAAAAAGTTGTTTTTAAAAAGTGTTTGGGTTGGCTTTTGTGGTAGGAAAAGCTGAAAAGCAAATAAGTTGATTTTAAAAAATATTTGGCTTAGCTTCTTAGATGTAAAATGACCAAAAAGGATATAGTTATATATTTAGAACCATTTACCATATAATATTTCATAGTTAGTAATTATTATACATACAATTGATAATTTTTTAAACTTTTTCTTTTACAAAATATATAATATTAATTTCTTTTACAAAGTAAATAATTTTTTCATTAGACCATGATAATATTAAAATTGAGTTCACATAAAAGCTAAATTGTAAATAATTCATAAAAATATCATAAGTGACGTAAAATTACATTCATCCTTACAATTCCATTATATCTTGCGCAATAATATCTCGTATCGCTGCCATATACAAATCATCATTATCCGTGCGATGTGTAGTTGGACCTTCTTCATGACCTTCACTACTAGTGTCACCTCCTCTGGGATTGTAAGATTCCTGTTGTGCCCTGTTAAACGCTTCATCAAACATACCAACCTTTCTAATATAGTTATGAATCGCCATCGATGCTATCACAATACGCACTTGGTTTTTGTACTTGTAGTTAACATGCATGTCTCTTAATAACGCCCACCTAGCTTTCCACACTCCAAAAGTTCATTCAATGATATTTCGCAATGATGAGTGGTGAAAGTTAAACGTCTCTTTCGCTCCACGAGGAGCACGCATAGCAGAAGTCTGTCCTCGTCGAAAATACGGTATATGATATCGAATACTAGTACCTTTGTATGGAGCAAGATACCCTTTAGTATTTGGGTATCCGGCATCAACAACATAATATTTATCTATAAATAAAACAAAGATATGTTATTCGTTTCAAAAAAAGTATTAAAAACATAAAACTTGTGTGTATAAGAAAAATTATACTAACCACCCCTTGGATGTGGAAAATGAAGTTCCGGTCTTTGTATGGCTTCATTGAATATTCTTGTATCATGTGCAGTCCCCTCCCATCCGACCCACACAAATGTAAAGCATATGTTAAAATCACAAACAACCATTACATTTTGTGTAGCGTATCCCTTTCGACCAATGTACTTTGCTTCCTCCTTTTTTGGAACGGATGCCTTTATATGTGTCCCATCTATAGCACCAATGCAATCCTTGAATGGATGATATTGACATTTGTTTAGTATATATTCAGGAACATCATCATTATAACTTTCAGTTGGTTTGATGATGTCGACACTCATCTTCAGCACGGATGCCAAAACTAAATGAAAATGCCTATGAATCGTTTCTCCAGAATGATTAAAAAATTCTTGAATAAATCTATTACTACATCCGTGAGCCAAATTCATCAAGAACATGCCTACTGATTCCTCAATAGACATATTTCTTGTTTGTTCCAATCCGTAATTTGTAACAAGATGTGTGCATAATTGTCTAAAAATAGGTACATGCAATCTAAACAGCTCATAACATCTTCTAGGATGGCCATTTAAAACTTCATTAATAAACATTTTCCCTGTGCGGTTTGAAGTGTGACATGGCGTATGTATTTTACGACATAGCAATATCCTTTTTAGAGCTAATCTACATAACATTTTGAATTCTATATCCTCTTCCACCAAACACACTTCATTATCATCGGATGAATTAGAATCATCACTATCCATCCTAGATAAGTCAAAAAAAATATCGATTACATTGGGTAAACAAAATAACCCATAAAATAAAATGTCGATTACATTACATCAAAGGATAAATGAAAGCATATAAAGTCATAACACACAAAGTCGTAACACACAAAGACATAACACCTAAAGTCATAACACATAAAGTCATAACACATGAAGTCACATAAGTCGTTATTTCATTAGTAACTTCAAGAACTCCATCTTTGCTTCATCAGTCGTCGGAAACATAAAAGCTTCACGAGTTTGTGATTTCGTGAAGGCAAACAATGCTTGTGAATAGTCTTTGGAACCTTCATTGAAACCGGGAAACTTTATGACAACTGCCATGCAATAAAATATTGTAGGAGATGGATTATTTTGTGGAAAGGTTTGTGTGCTTTTTGTTGATATGGCATCCAATAAAGCATCTACTTTTTCCTCATAAGTTGAAGTTTTACTCTTGGTTGATCGGTTGTTGCCAACATTCTTAGACTTCTTCCTTTTACCCGAACTACTTTCGAGGAAACTTGTAAAAAGAGGCTCATCATCATCTAAATTGATTTCATCACTATCTCCATTGCCCTCCTTATTTTCTTCATTTTGAAACTCTATCGGAGTCCTAGTTTGATTTCCAATGGCAATGGAATCCCGAAGCAAAAGAGTGTATTGAGTGTCGAACATGCTCAAATCTGCATCCCTAAATTTGCCATACTCTTTATTCTCCTACAAAGTAAGCAAATAATGTTTAACTCATCGATTTCACTATAGCATCATAACATAAAATAACTAAAAAGAATATTAAAGCATACCTTTATTTTTTTCCTCCCACCACTCAGGTGATGCATCTATTAAGCTTTTCGTTCCACCGATTCCGGTTTCAAGCCTTATTAACCGGTCATAAACCTTCCAATCTTTTTTCATGTTGTCCCATTTATTTTTAAGTTGTATTCTGTCAAAGGTTCTCCCTGTTTTTCTTTCATGTGTTTTATTAAATTCTCCCACCCTATCTTACTAAAGTGACGACCGTTTCTATTCCCTTTATTAAATTCATTCACACATGCATCAACGAAATCCTTGAAGCTTTGATTATCCCATACATATTTTGTTATATTCTTTTTTTTTATGGTTCACAATCAACAACATTAGTGTAGTTTTCATCCATTATCACAAAACTACATAAGAAAAAGATATAAACAAACTTACAGTTAACACAACTAACAGTTAACAAACCAAGGCCATTGATACACATATATCCAATTTCACAGTTAGCACAACTAACAAGAAAGGAAGTAAAACAACAAACCATGACAATTCATCAATTTCACTGTTAACATAAAAGTTTCATAGTTATACAACTAACATGTTCATCAATTTCACTTGTTAACATCAATAATCCCTTTCCAATTTCATGAATTTCTAGTTTTATAGTTATAATTACTCACTTTCATTGATTCCAAAAAAAATGTTGGATGGAATACCCACTGTGGGTACCGAACCCAAAAACCACAACAGTGAATTCATGAACACACAAAAAAAATAGATGAACATACATATCTGAGATGTAATAAACAGAAAAAATATCACAGAAGGAATTGATGAACAGATAAAAAAACTCGAAGATGCATGTCTAGATGCATCAAATCTAGATTCAAAAAAAAATCAGAGATTGAGGCATCTCTTACCCGATCGGAAGTAGAGATCGAAGCCCAAGCCGGCGCCGCCGAGGATGGAGCAGAAAACAGAGGAGGATGGAAGAGCAATTGGAGGTACAGATGAGAATAAGAGATATTGGTGAGAGATTGGGGATGAACGAATGCGAGTTTAATTGTTTTCACCTGTAAAATTGAATGCGGTGGGTGAGGGTATTTTTGTAGTTCTGGAGGTAAAAAGCTAAAAAGCTCTGATTCCTTAGCTTTTTGGAGTCTTCATATTTTGCTTGTTGAAAAGCTTCAAAAAGCTGGTTGAAAAGCTATTTTACCTTACCCAAACACAATTTTAACTTATTAGCTTTTGGAAAAGCTAATAAGCTAATAAGCAGTTTTAAAAATCTATTCCAAACACCCACTTAGTGTAAAGCTTCTCCTTCCTTAACACTTCCAATACTTCCCGTAGATGCTTTCCATGCTCCTCTTGGCTTTTCGAGTAGATCAGAATGTCGTCGATGAACACTATCACGGATTTATCGAGGAATGGTTTACAAACCCTGTTCATCAAATCCATGAATGTTGCAGGAGCATTGGTTAGTCCAAATGACATAACCAAGAACTCGTAGTGTCCATATCGAGTTCTGGATTCCGTCTTCTATATATCCTGTTCTCTCACCTTCAACTGATGATATCCCGACCTAAGATCGATCTTTAAGAAGTAGCTTGAACCTTGCAGCTGATCGAATAGGTCGTCAATCCTCGGCAATGGATACTTGTTCTTCACTGTTGCCTTGTTCAGCTCTCGGTAGTCTATACACATTCTCATGCTTCCGTCCTTTTTCTTCACGAATAACACCGGAGCTCCCCAGGGTGATAAACTAGGTCGAATGAAACCGTTGTCCAACAGCTCCTGAAGTTGCATCATAAGCTCCTTCATCTCCGTCGGTGCTAATCGGTAAGGTGCCTTTGCTATCGGTGGTGTACCTGGTAACAAGTCTATCCGAAACTCCACTTGCCTATCAGGTGGTAATCCGGGAAGATCTTCGGGAAAGACTTCCGGATAATCACACATAACCGGTATATTTTGCACCTCTTTTTTTTTCCTTCTTAGCATCGATTACGAATGCCAAGTACGATGCACATCCTTTGGACAAACATGTTCTGGCTTTCATCAGGGAGATGATTCCAGAATTCACTCTGCGTTTGTCCCCGTACACCATAAATGATTCTTTTTCGGAGTGGGTTTACCCTTACTATCTTCTTTCGGCATTGAATCTCAGCATCGTTGGCGCTAAGCCAATCCATACCCAAGACGATGTCAAAACCGTTTAACTCTATGGGTAATAGCTCTTCATGGAATTCGTTTCTGTTTAGGTCGATGACGATGTTCCTAATACGATTACTAACATGTACGAATTTTTCTTGGATAAGGTGTCTAAGTCCATAACTATTTCTGGTATGTACTTGACCCGACCCGGCATGGTCCATTTGGGTTGCATGGCACCATGCAATTGGATAGACTAAATGAGAGAAATAACACTTGGAGATTATTAATATATTATAAGTTCTAATATATTAATAATATTATTTGATTAGTTTGATCAAGAATTAATTTAGAATTAATTAAGTGATCAAAAGATAACTAATTAAATATATGGGTTGATTAAGTAAATCATCCATATCTTGTATAGTGGGCTAAAAGGCTCCATGGACCATCAAGTTGGGTTCCACCCATAGGATGCTCCATGGGAGTTACAAACCCATGGATCATGGAAATGAAGAGTCATGACACATTAGGGTTTAACCCTAGATGTGTCAACACTATATAAGTAACATGTTCTCCACCCAAAATCGGTCACACTAAGAAATAGAGGGCTTGGCCGATTTTGTGAAGTGAGTATACTCTCATAAGTTCTTCCAAGAGCATTTGGTGTTGTGTGAAGCATTTGAGGCATCACACTTGGGGTGCTAGGCTCACAAGGTTTCAAGGAACACAAACAACAACAAGGTAAGTTATTCTATCTATACTTTATGTTAAAATTGTTCCCCATGTATGCTAGATAGGAATATAACCTTGGAATTCAACTTTGCATGACAATTAGACAAACATAGATCCAAGGTTATTAGGGTTGCATGTACACTTAGGAAGTGTTAGAATGCTCAAAACCCACCAATTTTCCACTAACAACTTCTACAATTAGGGCATTATCAAGTTTTTCTACATGTAATGCTAGTTTCCCACCAAATTTACACGACACAAAGGAGTAGTTGGCTCCGGAATTAAATAATATATTGGCAGGCAAACCATTTACAAGAAATGTACATGAAGCGACGTCTGCTGCCTCCTTTGCAGCCTCGAGCGTCATCTGGAAGGCTCTCACCTTTGGCTTCGGTGGTATGTTGGGTCTTCCTGCCTCTTTTTTCGGGCAATCCTTTGAAATGTGCCCCTCCTCGTTGCACTCATAACAGACCTTTTTAGTGAACGTGCATTCATTAGCATAGTGCCTAGGCTTTCCACATTTGAAACAAGTGATCCCTCCATCACACTTCCCAGAGTGCTTCTTCTTGCACTTGTCACACCACTTTGCTTCTAATCCTCCTCCTCTCAAACCAGATTTCGAGAATTTACTCTTCTTTCCGAACCTTGAGGATCCGTCAAACTTTCTTTTCTCTCCCACCTCTGCTCTCTCCAGACCCTTCTCTCGTATCTGGGTCTCCACATTCTTAGCAGCCCAGATGGTGGCTTTTAGGCTGGTAGTTTGCTTGACCATTGGACCGAAGTCCGTTGGTAATCCGAGGGCAAATTTGTTAACCTTGGAGAGTTCAGTTGAGACGAGGTGAGGAACAAGCTTCATTTTCTCAGTAAATCTTGTAGTGTATTCAGCAACGCTCATTCTTCCCTTCTTCAGATTCTGGAATTCGTTGTTGATCTCCAGAAGATCCTACTCAGAGCAGTATTGCATCTTTAACTGCACCAGAAAATCCTCCCACGATATCTTGCTTGCTTCACCTTTGTGCATTGAATCAGCTAGTAGCTTCCACCAGCTTTGAACTCCAGATTTCAACAGAGGAACTGCGAGAGCGGTCTTCTGCCTGTTTCTACACTCGTAACTCTCAAACATCGTCTCCATCTCAGAGATCCAGTTCATGACTTCCACCGGTGTTGGGCTTCCGGATAGACTCGGTGGTTTGGATGCCATGAAATCCTTGTATTTGCATCCACATCCATTATTTCCTCCATCCTGGTGGTTTTGCCTAACTATCAGTGGGTTGGCTTGACCAATAGTCTCACTGTAGTTTCCCTCCTCAGTCTTCCCTTCGTTCAACTCGGGTTGTTCGATCTGTATGGTTGCTTCCTCACGATTTTGCTGGAGCAAACGCCTGGTTTCCTCCATTTGACGATCCAACATCGCATGGATCATCTCGTGCACTCCAGCCATCGTTATTGGCCCGACAGCGGCTTCCAAAACTGGTAATTGCTCGATCATTGGGGGTTGGTTTCTGTTCCCATTTGCATTCACGTTTCCTCTACGGGTCCTTGCCATCTTGATCTATACACCGAATAAGGTGAATTTAGATCTTTATTTAGGACTGATATTCAAATCATGCTTATCTCTCCGAAACGTTTACATGCTAGTTCTAATATCGTAGTTGTAGGTTTAGAATCCTAAAAACATAAGGTTTCCAGATGCGGTCGGCAACAGACCATAGATCCGAACAATTAACAGCATATCAGGCACAAAGCATTTAGCACATAAAATCATTTTAGGTATAATTCCTAAAATAAGCTAGTGCTCACACCTCACAATCATCGCTTAGCATTCTAAGTTTAAGTCTAGAAATCCTACAAATTCCTAGTTTGCTTAAACTAATGCTCTGATACCAACTGTGACATCCCCATTTTCACGGACAGAAAAGACCGATTTTCTTTATGCTTTGTTTGAAAATCAGAGTATCATTTTAAATAAAAGTGTTGCGGAATTTGTCCCAAAACAAAATTTGATATAGATTTTGTTGGAATAGTGTCTAAGGCTA